TGATGAGAATTGCAGTTCAGCAACATTTGGAAGCTGCACATTCCCTTGTCTTGGGCTAAACTATACCTTTGATCCAGATCATTCCCCGTCTTCCTCCTGGACTCCAGGCAGCTGCTTTTTACAAAAGTATGAAAGGATGGAGGAAGGAATCTCCAATCTCCACTTTCTCATTTTTGCTGACATTAAGGAATAGGCGCAAACAGGCAATACTTCGGGAGCAGGGTCTTCTTCCATGAACTGCAAGTCCCCAAAGTAGTTGTTTGCTATTAGCAGCATCTCTAATGTTACTTGCAACTGCCAAACACCTGATGTGAAAATGCAACTGAATGGGTGTGCATGCATGTGCGTGTACAAGGTTGGTGTCAAAGTAGGCATGGAAGGGTCATATCCCAGCAGAAGCTCCATGGCAAGAGTTCTCTTGGAGGTGCTACTCTTCTCTACCAATGCAATGTGCTTGTTCATGGGCTTGCTGCTCTGGCCCAGACTGCAGTGGAGGCAAGAAGAGCAGTGCCTGGAGGTGGCCCTGCCTATTTGCTCCCTGGCTCTCTGCCTGCCAAGCAAGCCCATAGAAGCTATGAGGGGTAAAAGGATGAGGAGTAAGAGCAATGGTGATAGTGGCCACAAAAAGTAGACTCATTGAGGGATGGGGCCCACTGAAAGTGTCGTGCCAAAGCGTCCCCCAAAATTCAGAGTTGGCACTGTGTGTGTACATGCCAGAGAGAGCGAGAAAGAGATCACATCTTAACTAAACATGTACAAGGCAATACCTCAAAACTCAACTGTGGGTAGTCAAACATGTTCCCCAACCAAGACAGGGCTGCATTAAAGAAAGCCAGCAAGGCAAGGAAGGCGATCAGGTTCACAGCAATATTTGCCACCAGGGAGACTGAGGCAGAAGCTCCTTGGCTAGCCGCTTCCAACAGATTTTTGGAGTCTCTTCACCAAGAAAAAAAGAACAACGTATGCACATTAGTGTGATATTTCCACATTAAAAACAACAAGTAGAGCAAATATATATTTCTATAGTGACAGAAAGCATTGCTTTTAACTTCTCAGAAGGTTTACCAGCCAAAACTGGCACGTAATGTTCTTAACAATACTGAGAATGTATATAGCTTTTTGAGAATATTAAAATACCATGTGCACATTAACCCAGGCCAAGTAATACAAGGCACAGGAGGTAATTAGACAAAATGATGTTGCTGCATTAGGCAGTTTATTATGGGTGTTACAAAAGGCTGAAATTCACTGGTTATTATATAACTGAATAACCACTGGCCTTGCACCGCCAAATGTGTTCAGGGCTCTATGAGATAAGAATTGGGAACTTTCTGGTTCTCAGTGTGTGCCATTGAACAACACTATACCAGTTCTAGTCTAGTGTTCAGTTTTCAGGGGGGCAGAGTATGAGTCCTTTCCACCCAAACAATTTCCTGTGATTTTGGCCACAGACATTTAACAGATCTAGCTTTTCTGGTATACAGTAAATACATAGTGATAGGTAAAAATTCCTATCAGTGCTGTGTTTCATGCAATTCAACTGAACCTCTGTGGGTGAAGTCATGATACTACAGGTGCACTGCAGCAGGGTACAGAAAGGCCCTTTCCAAGATGGCCATGAAATTATAGGGATGTATGACAGGAACAGCAGCATACAGAATATCTCTGTCATCTACCTCAAAGTGAACATGCATGGAGGTAATGCGTACCACAGAGTTGCTTACCTGTAACTGTCTTTCTTCGAGTGGTCATCTGTGCATTCACACATAATGGGTGAATGCACAGTGCCTGCACAGTGCCTGTAGCCGAGTAGAATACAAAAGCTTTAACGGATTTTGGCGGGAACTCCGCACCCCTCCCTCTCAGTGCTATAAGAGGCGGAGCGCCCACCATTTCCCTCAGTCTATGGAGACTGTCCGATCGCCCCCTGGTGCTGAGAGTGGTAAGCTCGAGGAACCACTGGTGAGAGAAAGGGCTGACAATATGGTAGGTACCTGCCCCTATGCTGGAGACACCAAGACAGGTGTCCCAGCCACCAACACCGAGTGGGGTCGGTGGGAGGGTTGTGTGAATGCACAGATGACCACTCGAAGAACGACAGTTACAGGTAAGCAACCTGCCTTTCTTCTTCGTGGTCTCTGTGCATCACACATAATGGGTGATTAGCAAGCTTACCAACCGGAGGTGGGTCAATGTTGTCAGAGGAGAATCAAGGAAAGGACGGCACGGCCAAAGGAGCAGTCCTGTCTGACTTGTACATCGAGTCTGTAATGTCTGGTGAATGTGCAAGGAGTTGTCCACGTTGCTGCCTTGCAGATGTCTGGTGGCGGGATGCCCGCTGAAAACACCGAGGAGGCAGCCACAGCTCTGGCGGAATGTCCTTTGGGAGCAACCGGGAGGTCCAGCTTGGCCAATTGGTACGCCAGTTCGATAGTTTGAACGATCCACTTCGAGAGTCTTTGGGAGGAAATCACGGTGCCTTTGTCAGATTCGTAGTATTTAAGAACTTAGTCTTTCTGAAGCTCTCAGTATGGGATGGATAAAAGGCTAGGCATCGACATACATCGAGAGAGTGGAGAGACTTCTCTATCGGGGTTGAGGGAGTCTGGAAGAAGGTTGGTAGGACAATGTCCTGATTGACGTGAAAGGGTGTAGCGAGCTTAGGTAGAAACGCAGGGTCAGTATGAAGGACATCCTTTTCCTTATGAAAATTAAGGTAGAGCGGGTCTACACGGAGAGCGCAGAATTCGCCTGCCCTTCTGGCGGAAGTAATGATGACAAGAAAGGCAGTCTTCCATGATAATAGTTGTAGGTCATTTGTTGCCATGGGCTCGAAGGGGGCCCTGGTAAGGGCTTGTAACACCACCGAGAGGCTCCAGGTTGGGACCGTGGGGCAGGTTGGAGGCTGGTGATTCTGTAATTCTTTGAGGAAGCGGCATATGAGTGTGTGAGAGAACACTGAGGATCCGGATAATGGGCCTTGATAATGAGAAAGTGCCACAATGTACACTCTAATCGAAGTGGGCTTAAGCCCATCTTGATGTAGGGAGAACAGGAAGAATAGGATATTCTCGATGGAAGCTGACTGAGGAGGGAACCGGTTGGTCTCTGTGAAGGCAGTGAAGCATTTCCACTTAGCATCGTATGATCGGTGGGTGGCTGGTTGTAGGGCGGATTGTAGTATGAAGTTAATGTTCGACTGTAGGGAGGTCGTGCTCGGTATGGCTGGAAGAGGCTCTGTTGGTACCGAAGGTGGTTCAGGTACCGACGGGCAAGTAGCGGCCATCGGGATCGAAGAGTTTGTCGGGACCAAAGTCAGGTGACAGGGGACGGTTAGTGAAGGAGCTACGCGGTGAGATTGAGTGAGTCGAGATCGGGATGGCGGATCGCCCCCTCTTCCTGTGTGATCAGGTGTGGGACCCGTGGTAGATAGACAAAGGTTTGGTGGGAGAGGTTGAGGATGGTCGGGAACCAGGGTTGGCATGGCCACCAAGGCTTAACAAGAATGCCCTGGGCTTTGTCGTGAACAGCTTTTTCTAGGGTCCTCATGATTAATGGGATTGGAGGGAACGCGTAGAGAAATGAATCTGACCAACTCATCATCATGGCGTCGCCCAGCAAATTCGAGCCCCTCCCTTCCCGGGAGCAGTAAGTCTGGCACTTTGAATTGATGGCTGTGGCAAACAAGTCGATGGATGGGGTGCCCCAGCAGAGGAAAAGGTCCCTGCAGATGCAGTTGTCCAGCTCCCACTCGTGGGTTGAGGACATTTGCCTGCTGAGAAAGTCCGCCTCCTCATTGTCCACATCCGCTAGAGGAACTGCCAGCAGGGTGATCCCTCTGGGAATGCACCAGTTCCAGATCTGTAGGGCCAGATGGGCCGGCGGTACTGACCTTGTGCCACCCTGCTTGTTGATGTAAAAGACAGTCACAACGTTGTTGGAGGCTACCTGTACTGTTCGGTTCCGAAGAGTGGGTTTGAAGGAGCGGAGCACTTTTAAGACTGCAAGCAGCTCAAGATAATTGGTGTGCTCGGTCTTTTCGTGGGCTTGCCAGGTGCCTTGAGTACGGAGGTTGGCGCAGTGTGCTCCCCAGCCTGTAAGGGAAGCATCGGTATGGAGCGATACCGAGGGCTGCGGTTGATGGAACGGCACGCCTACTGAGAGATTGTCCTTGTTCGTCCACCAAGACAGAGCTTGATGAACCGAGACTGGAGGTAGAAGTGGAAGCTTTGGGGAGTCGCGCTGTGGTTGGAAAAGGCTGTTGAACCACAGCTGCAGCGGTTGCATCCGAAGTCTGGCGTTTGGGACAACTGTAATAGTTGAGGACATGTGGCCGAGCAGCTTCTGGATGAACAATGCTAGAGTTTGTCTGCTCTCTTGGATGCGCTGGGCTGAGGAACAAAGATTGTCCATTCAAGCCCGTGGTAGGAACGCTCTTGCTTGAATGGAGTCAAAGCGTGCTCCAATGAATTTGATGACCTGCGAGGGAGCGGGACAGGATTTTTCGGTACTAATACAGAGTTTGAGGTCATCCAGCAGTGTACACATAGTGTCGATGGCCAAGAGTAACTGCTCTCGGCATGGAGAGACAATAAGCCAATCGTCTAAGTAGGGATAAATTTGGACACCCTGCAGCCGAAGGTGGGCGCAAACAGGTGCCATGCTGTTTGTGAAAACTCTTGGAGCTGTAGCAAGTCCAAAAGGGAGAACATTATATTCAAAGATATCGGAGCCAACCGTGAAGTGGAGAAGCCGCCTGTGAGACGGGCAGATGCTGATATGGAAATAGTTATCCCTTAAGTCCAAAGATGTGAACCAATCTTCTCTTTTGAGTAAGGAGAGGATATTTTGAAGGGTGGTCATGCAAAATTTTTTAGTTGTAATAAATGTATTGATGCTCCATAGGTTGAGTATAGGGCGTAGAACACTGTCCCATTCCGGGACCGTAAAATATCTCGAGTAGAAGCCATAGAGCCCCTCAGAACGGGAGATTCGCTGAATTGCTCCTTTATGGAGTAGTTGGGAGACCTCATCTCTGAGAACCTCCAATGGAGAGGTGTATCGGATCGGTCCCGAGGGGGTCACGGTATTGAACTCGATTTTATATCCATTCTCAATGACGGAAAGTACCCATTTATCAGATGTGATGGACTCCCAAATGGGGAGTCTGCCTTGCAGCCAGTCCCCAAAAGGGAGGGAGGAGAGTGGAAAGGGGGAGAGAAGATTAGCTCGTGCGTCTCGTCAGCGCTGCTGCTTGCTGGCAGGTTGGCGGCGACGGCCTTGTTGGTTTTGTGCGGCAGGTTGGCCCCAGTTGTGTTGCTGGCACGGCTGGTATTGGTGGCGTGGCTGATAGCGATGGTAAGGCTGGTACTGAGGGTAGCGAGATTGTGGCCACTTATGACCGCAATTGGAATATGGAATCTCCATCTTCCGAGTGGTAGCTCAAGCATTGTAAATGTGCTCGAGCTTATGGTCCATGCGATCATGGAAGAGGTCAGAACCATCAAAGGGCATTCCCTCGATGCGCCTCTTGGTCTCATCGGGGAAGTTGCAGGAACGTAGCCAGGCGTGTCGGTGCAGGGTGATGGATCCGACGAGCGCACGAGAGTCGCAGTCAACATGATGGTGAGCTGCTGGATGGAAAGCTGCATGGCCTCCCGGATGAAGATGCAGGCCAGGTCGTGCTGTTGCTCCAGAATAGTGGAGGTGATGGATTCCAGCAGTTGCATCAAGAAATACTGATACCTGGCCATCGTTGCCTCATAGTGTGAAATCCGGAGACCCAGCCCCATGGCCGCGTAGATGCGGCGTGCCATTAAATCGATCTTCCTGCCCTCTTTGTCTCTTGGGGTCGAGTGCTCTCTGTTGTCTTGCCCCTGGAACGACTCAACCACAATCAAATTAGGTTTTGGGTGCTTCAAAAGGAATGGTATGTC